AGATATTAAAAGCTTCTTTTAATGTTTGGTAGAATTCATCAGTGAAGCCTTCTGGTCTTGGACTTTTGTTTGTTCTGAGGTTTTGATTACTGATTCAATCTCCTTACTAATAATTGGTCTATTCAGATTTTACTGTCTTTGAAGATTTTAAATCTCCAGAAATTTATCCATTTCTTCTAGGTTGTCCAATTTATTGGCATATACTTGTTAATAGTAGTCTCTTATGATCATGTGTATTTCTTTGGCATTATTTTTTTTTAAGATTTTATTCATTTATTTGACAAAGAGAGAGAGAGCACAAGTAGGCAGAGCAGCAGGCAGAGGGAGAGGGACAACCAGGCTCTCCACTGAGCAGGGAGCCCAATGCGGAGCTCGATCCCAGGACCCTGGGATCATGACCTGAGCCGAAGGCAGCCACCTAACTGACTGAGCCACCCAGGCGCCCCTGCCATTATTTTTAACTACTCTTCTTTCATTTCGGATTTTATTTACTTGATCTCTTTTTCTCTTGGTCAGTCTAGCTAAAGGTTAGTCAATTTTGTTTATCTTTTTGAAGAACCAGCTCTTAGTTTTATTGATCTTCTCTGTTATCTTTTTACTTCTTCTCTATTTCATTTATTTCTGCTCCAATGTTTATTTTCTTTTTTCTATTAACTTTGGACTTTGTTTATTTTTCTTATTTTAGTTTCAATGGGTGTGAATTTAAATTGTTTATTTGAGAATTCTTTTGTTCTTGAGGTAAGCCTATATTGCTATGAATTCCCCTTTTAAAACCACTTTTGCTGCATCCCATAGATTTTGGTATGTCATATTTCTGTTTTCATTTGTCTATAGGTATTTTTTTAATTTCTCCTTTGATTTTTTTCTATGACTCAGTAGTTTTTCAGTAACATGTTGCTTAATCTCCATGTATTTGTAGTTTTTCCAATTTTCTTCTTGTTATTGATTCCTAGTTTCATACCATTGTGGGTCAGAAAAGATGCTTGATATGATTTCAATAATCTTTAATTTATTGAGACTTGTTTTGTGTGATCTGTTCCATGTACACTTGAGAAAAATGTGTATTTTGCTGTTTTTGAATAGAATGTTCTGTATATATTAAGTCCATCTGGGCTAATGTGTCATTTAAGGCCAATTTTTTCTCATTGATTTTCTGTCTGGATGACCTATTGATCTAAGTAGGGTGTTAAAAGTCCCTACTATTATTATATTACTATCAATTTTTCCCTTTAGATATCATAATATTTGCTTTTATATTTTGGTGCCCCTATGTTGGGTGCATATATATTTATAAATGTTATGTTTTTGTTGGATTGACTCTTCTATCATTACATAGTGCCCCTCTTTGTCTTTTATTACAATCTTTGTTTTAACATCTATTTTGTCTTACATAAGCATAACTCTGTCAGCTTTCTCTTTGTTTCAACTTACATGTAATATCTTTTTCCATTCCTTCACTTCCAGTCTGTGTGTGCCCTTATTTCTGAAGTGAGTCTCTTGTAAGCAGCATATAGATATGTCTTTTTTTTTTTTTTTAAATCCATTCATCCTTTCTATGTCTTTAATTGGATTATTTGGTCCATTTACATTTAAAGTAATTATTGATAGATATGTACTTATGGCCATTTTGTTGTTTTCTGGCGGTTTTGGTAGTTCCTTTTGTCTGTTTCTCTCTTTCATTTTGGTTTGATGAATTCCTTTAGTGTTATGTTTAGATTCTTTAGATTCTATTTTAAGTTAATAGCAACTTAACTTTAAACACATTCCAAAACTCTACATATTTATTTCCTCACCCCCATTTTATATTTCTGATGTCACTTTTTACATCTTTTATTTTATGTACCCTTTAACTAATTATTTTAATTTTAGTTAACTTTACTACTTTTTTCTTTTAAACTTCTTAGTAGCTTTATAAGTGATTGATCCACTATCTTTACTATATATTTACATTTTCCAATGAGATTTTTTACTTGTGTGTTTTCTTGATATTAATTAATGCCATTTCTTTTCAGCTTAAAAAAATCCCTTTAATATTTCTTGTAAGACCACTTTAGTAGTGAGGCACTTCTTTAGCTTTTGCTTAACTGGAAAACTTGTTATCTCTCCTTCAAATCTGAATGATAATCTTGACAGGTAGAGTATTCTTGCTGCACCTGCCCGCCCCCCCCCCCCCACACACCCAGGTCAGCACAGAGCCCAGACATGCCCCCATTGTTGGGAAGTGTCAAGACTTGTCAGTGATCCAAAGGGGAGATTCTTATTTAGCACCTAGATTCAGAATGATTGGAAGTCAGATCCTCAAGCAGCAGTGTTTAAAGTATGTAAATATATTTAGTCTCATGGTCCACAATCATAATCCCTGCTGGCCTCTAGATCAGAAGAGTTGAAGGTATCCCCTGGAGAACTGTTGCAAAAAATTGGAGCTCTTTTCTAGTAAGTGTCATCAATCTGTATTGAGGCCAAGGAAGTATACAAGGATGGTGTGTCCCTGCTTGTTTTCCAGGAGCACCTCCCTAGGTTTTAGATATGTGGGAAATCTGAACCCTGTTCCTCAGGCCAAAGCTCCAGGCTAAGTAAATAGGTCTTTTTCATAAGAAAACTTGGGTTGTGTTTTAGTCTGATATTTTTGCAGTGCCCTGGGAGTGGTAGCCTGCCAAGAGCTGTCTTTCTAATTTTTTTAGTACTGTGGAGCTCTAGAATGCCAGCCCTCTTGGCAACCAGAGCCAAGCAATCAAGAGATGTCCCCTGTGTTGATCATGTACTCCCACTGGCTTTAGCAAGGCAGCTGAGATATGTTCACCAGCTTCAAAAGGGCATCAGGAAAATGTCTTTTCTGTGCATGCCCATGGGCTTTAGCAATTCAGTGGGAGAATGCCTTATGTGCGCATGTATGCCAGGTTTAGGCTGGAAATGGAAGAATATCATGACTGCTTGCACTTGCCAGCCCCAGCCAGGGGCCCAAGGAGTTTTGCAACCACCCATTCTCACAGACTTAGCTAGGGAGTGGAAGAACCTCATGACCATTTGCACTTGTCCACCCAAACCAGGGAGCAGAGAAACATTGCAACCACCCATGCTCTCTGGTCTCAGCAAGTGCCACCACTGCTCACCTTTGCCCATCCCAGCAAGGCAGTGGAAGGCACTGTGTCCAAGCTTGCCCACTTGTCTTAACAAACTATGTGGAGAATGTAAAAATGGCATCCACCAGTGACTCTATCTCCAGGGAACATCTCCAATGTCCACCATCCCTTTAGTCAATGCCCCCTGATTAGCAAAAGAATCACCTTCCAGGCACTTTTCAAAGTGCTGTTTTTTCTGGGTCTTGGGGTGAGTAAGACCACACATGAATCTTCCAAGAAGAGAATTCCAGTTTCCTATACCACTTTGGGACCCCTGGACATCAGTCCCATTGATCTTCCAATGACAATCTGGCAGCTCATCTTTTTGGATGAGCGTAACAGGCAGATCCCTGTGGCCAGGGTGCCTGATCTGGGGTATTCAACTTTCACTCCACCAGGAGAAGTACCTGTTGGTGAAATCCCTCTCTATTGTGTATTGCTACATGGTGATTGGGATTTTTTGTGAGACCATGTCTCTGCTTCTCCTACCCATCACAATGTGGCCCTTTTAGCCTTTGTTGTGTAGAGCAGTTCATCTAGTTTTCAGATCTTTTTCAGAGGGAAATGATCTACACGTAGCTTTGAATTTGATGTCTGTTAGAGGAGGTGAGTTCAGGATCTTCCTCTATCAACAAATTGGCACCCCCTCCCCATTGGGCACTTTTAATATCTCCATGTAAAATATGAAAGAACTGAGTTAGAGTCAAAATTTTAGCCTTGGCCTATACAGGGTCCAGAACACTTCTAATTTTATCAACTATGAATTTCTAAAAGGAATCCAAATTTTAAAAAAATCAGAAAGCATATTCAAAATCTTGCTTAGTTCAATCAAAATAAAATTCACTATGGAAAACATTGTGCTTCTACTACTCTTCTAACAAATAGTACTATGGTTAATTAACAAGTATCATATCTACAGTTGGTAAAATACAAAAAAAATCAACATACAAGTTCTCATTCTTGAAAGAGAATTCAAGTCCCGTATATATTCCAGTCTCATATATTCTTTAAGCTTCTTGTGCCCTAGTTTTCAATTAACTCCAAAATAACTAAAAATTTTCCTTAGCTATAACAGAGATCTATGAGCCAAAAATTCTCTGAAATCACACAGATTCCTTAATTGTACCAATAGAAATTCATATTCAGTAGTTTTGGATGGCACTGGAATATTCTTTTTTTTTTAAACTCCCCAGCTTTTATCTTATGTAACAATCTGGTATCAATGAGGGGAGCTGCATCTGGAAACTCCTGAAGTAGAACATTTCATCACCAACCATGCTGATGAACTAGGTGTTATATTTATAGTGCAAATAAATCTAACAGCAACAATTTACAGATAGCATTTTATGGTGGATTAGTTTATGGAAAATGTGTGATAAAGCAAATCTTATTTTAATGTGATAAATGTTGGGATTATTGTTATATTCTGAATCTTCCATCCAGTATTAACCAAATTGACCACAAACACCACACTGACTCAACTACAAAGTATTTATCTTTATGCTGTAAAAAATATTTTCTGTCCTACTTTTAGTTATTTTACTAGTAATCAATATAACATAACAGACATTGATAAACACATAAATGAATCAAGGTAATATATAAAAAAATAAAATTGGACAGGCTTTAAATAACTAAACAGAATTTGGACTTAAATATAACTATCAAAGGTTCAGTTCAGTTTTAGAGAGGAAATGGATATGATTGAACTTGTATTTTAGAAGAGCACTCAAGAGGCAATTGTGGAGAATGGACTTGAGGGGAAAAAGATTAGCAGCAAAAGAAACAATTAATAAGTAATAGGTGATGAGAGTCAAAAGTCATAGCAGTGGGGATAAAGAGGCAAAGAATAATAATAACTAGCATTTAAATAATGCTTACTGTGGGGGCATGTGGATGTCTCAGTTGGTTAAGCATTCAACACTTGATCTCAGCTCAGGTCTTGATCTCAGGGTCGTGAGTTCAGGCCCCATCTTGGGGTCCACACTGGGCATGGAGCCTACTTAATAAATTAATAAAATTAATTAATAATGCTTACTGTGTAGTAGACAATGTTTTAAGCACTTTATACATATTCACTCATTTAATCTTCACTATAACCCTATGAAGTAGTGTTATCAATTGACTTTTTCTGGGTAATAACCCAAGACATAGTACTTTAAAATAACAATCATTTATTTAGCACATAATTCTCTAAACTGGCAGTTCTGATCTTGGCTAGCATCACACATACTCTTTAGTCAGTTGCTATGATCTATAATGGCCTCAGTCAGGAAGGTTTGTCTCTATCCCACATGGGGTCTCTTTCCCCAGAAGACTGGCTCAGTCTTGTTCACATAATAGTTGGGCAAGTTTTCAGAGACCAGTAGCATTAAGTGCCTTTTAAGTCCTAGTATACACAATATCTTCTTCACTCTATTAACCAAAGCAGGTCACAGTCCAGCTCTGATTTCAAGATAGGAAAATCAACCTCATCTCTTGCTGATAGATGCTGCAAAGTTACATTGCAAAGGGAAGGGTAGATTGAGGAGGAAAAGTTGTGGCAATGTATGTAATCTACTTTATTTTTTAATTATTTTTATCATGCTTATTTTGCAGATAATGAAACAGAAACACAGAATTATTAAGTAATTTACCTTAGATCATTCACTAAACAGTGAAGCATCACTGTTGTCAGAGGAAATGACCTATATGTCTCTAAAGTTTAAAAAAAAAAAAGGTGGATGTCTAGAGAAGTCTTAGGAAGAAAAATCAATATGATCAATGATTAATTAGATTGGGAGCAGAAAGTCAGGGAAAGAATAAGAGAGGATCCAAATGTGGAAAAGTGGTAATATTATTAAGAGATGATAGCATTTGTTGATGATCCTATCCAAAAATTAAGTAATATAGCAGTATGATTAAGTCCTAGACAGGGATAGGAATAGGCCTAATAAAAATGTTGATTTACTCACTAAAGACTGAGTTGTCTTCAAATTATTTAGGTGGACATGTATGTTGGGCTACTGGAGATAGAGTGTTTCCCTCAAAAGAAAGAAATCTGGACAAAGATACAGATTTGGGCTCCATATAGTTGGTCTGGTAATTGAAAGCCTGTGACTAGATGAAAAGACTCAGAAAGATTTTAACATGAAGGCCATGCACATAGTTCCAGAGAGGCACAGAGTCAGTGCAGAAGAAAAGGAGCCTTCCAAGAAATTTTTACAAGACCAGTGCTCTAACCCCTGAGCTATGGAGCCTCTTCCAAGAAATTTTTAGATGATAAAACCAAGAAATAGCAATATCAAAAGCAGTAAGATAACAGTAAGATATTCCCACTAATGGAAGATGAAACGATTTGTCTCCCACTGAAAACAATTGGAAAATCTAGATAAAATATTTTAAAAACTAAAGACTCACATCCTTAAATAAATTAGAGAACCAACATAATAGTAAAGGATCTAAAATAAGGAGAGAGGCCCATGAGGGTAAGCACAGAATTTAGGGTTACTTTATCCTGGGAAAGTTTGACAATTACAAAGAAAGCTTTTGAGAGTTTGGGCTGTGCTTTTGACAGCCTCACAGGTCTAAGAGAACTAAAGTTGAGTCCAGAGTCTACCAAGGGAAATGGCTTCAGTAAATCCTTTACACTTTAGACTGGGACCTTACAAAGCTGCCGTCTAGGTATAAAAGTAAACCAAAAATTGACCATTCTTCTCAGAGCACTGCAGTTTCTCTGAATCACCTGTCTTTTAAATTAGATTAAAGAAATTTATTAATGGTGTATCACCCTTAGTATCACCAGGCATCCTCCAGAGCATAAGCTCCTAGCAAAAACACATGCAAATTTAGATCTTTTTTGTGATATGATAACATCATTCTAGCCTTCAGGTTATATCTACAAAATACTTAAATCTGAGATCCTCCACATAATCAAAAATAACCAGTCATACTAGAAGACAAGGCAACATGAGCAAAAGCAAAACAGCAATAAAAAAGAAAAAGCAAACAACAGAAAAAGATCCACAGGGCCTTCAGAAATTGGTACTCATGGATAGAGATTTTAAAATAACTTCAAATGCTGTCCAAGGAGATAAAAGACAGAATAAAAAATTGATTAAAGAATTTGAAAATATTAAAAGCATCCAGACAGAAACTCTAAAACTCTGAAACTCAATAAACAAAATTAAGAATTTAATAGGTGGCTTTGCCAACAGATTAACACAATTAAAGAGAAAATTAATAGCCTGAAAGAAAGATCAGGAAAAGAACACCCAGAATAACAGCATAAGGTGCATAAGATACAAAAGAGTATAGAGCAAACAATGGTAAGGACTACATATAACGTTTGGAATGTCAGAGAAAAGAAAGTTACTTCAAAGAACATGTACTTCAAAAAGATAACATCCAAGTGACCAATAGACATTGTTAATGTGTTTAACTTTACTAGTAGTCAGGAAAATGCAAATTGAAAATACAATGAGATAATGACTACGTACCAAAATGACTAAAACTTGAAAACACCAAAAGTACCAAGTTTGGCAAGGATGTGAAGTAAGAAGAATTCACATATCCTTCTAACCATGTAAGGAGAAGAGGAAGCCATTGATGAACAAGACCTAAGAATTGGAAAGAAGCAAATACCCAAGTGGAAGTTTACTTGTAAATTATCAGAGGTGAAATCTACCTTTCTTTTGAGAGGAAGAAATGATGGATGGAGATATAGATTGTTTTGGAGCCAAAATTTTGAGGAAGTTCTGAGTGTATTCTATATTCTTCATCCATAAGAGTGAGGCTGTTGATTAAGGGGAGGAAAGCAAAGGTGGGTTAGAGAGTTTGCAAATGTTACAGAAAATTTTAGACTGGTTGTCATGTGGAAGTTGTAGTTGACAAGGCATATGTAAAAAGGTAACTAAGAATACTGAGAACTAGGTTTATAATGAAAACAATGTAAATTGGGTGATTCTAATTTTAGTGTTTTAGTGATTTCTATGGTCTCAATGTTTCAGGAACTATCTCGGTTTATGAAGTCTGTCATAAGTATCATTCCAGTTGCCTCTGAAGTCAATTTCTTCATTTAGTGAGAAGTAGAAATACTGTACTCACTATAGAAGAGCATTATAGATCTGTTCAGAAACAATTGTATGTAGTTATACAGAAAAACATTCCAAGAAAGTGAAGACAAAGCATTTACATTGAATCTGGAATAAAGTGGTGACCTTGACCATGGAATGGTGTTTAATCCACATACTTGCCTAGAAAAACAGTTAGCATTTAAATTATTTTAGGCACTCTAGCATCCATGTCCCTTAAGCCATCTCAAGCAAAATGGTGCAGGCCCCCAAATGTTACTAAACTTCCAGCAAGAGAGATTCAGCCAACTTTCTTTGTGGACCATTCTAGTTTCTCCCAATTCTCATGGCCTGGGCATACTTTCTTATATGTTTCATGGTCTATTTAACTTTCCCTGAAGTCTGGAAAACCTCAAAAGCCTGTTGACAGCAAGGATTTTTAAAAGTCTTTCCTAAGACAGCCAAAACTATAGCTCATAGCCAGCACAGAAACAATTTTTTACAAGCAGACCAGTGATATAGGTTTCCCTCCCACTCAATTACATTCCCTCATTTCAGTTCAGCTTTGCATATGAGTTTTACAAAGCTGAGTTTGACGAGATGAAATGTTGTTAGGAACTAAAAGGCAGGATCATGGAAACACCTCACCAGAGATACATTTAATTAAAATGACTCACCATAACAGCAAAAGAATAGGCAATTTTGAAGGTCTCCCAAACTTTCTCCTTACCTTACCACCAAATCTCATGTGGTCTTAAAAAAAAAAATCCCAACAAAGGATAGATAGAGTCTGGAAAAGAATACACGTTAGCTTGGTACTCTTTTGCATTTTGTTATCCCTCTAAACACCAGAACAGGCAAGACCAAGTTTGCAAGCCCAAGAGACACTTTCAACAGCAACCTTATCTTGTTGGAAAGTTTGCTCTGAGGTCACATGGGGCGAGCCAGAGCCCAGCTGACAGTGTGTCAAAAGGCCTCAAGCTAGCAAAAGAAAGCACTGTGAGTGCACAAAGGTCGAGCATCTTTGGAAGTGGGTAAATTGGAACAATATGATATGCTTTGTCTAAAAACATATCCCATTTTCTAACTGCAAAAAGCAGTTTGTGATCTGGATTCTTAGCAGCAGAGGAAATGAAAATGAATAAAATTAAGCTAATGTCAGAAGTGCTGGACTTTTGTTGTTGCTGCTCATGGTGGTATTAAAAATGAAAATAACCGAAACACATGCCTAAATATATAGACAGCAATTCCTTCAAAACCCTGAAAACTTTGGGCAAGCCCAAACAGCATGCACCTACCATCCAATTCAGGGGGAACCAGGCCAGCATTGGATTTCACAGATAGCACCACAGACAGCTATTAAGCTCTAATTCGGTGTCACATTTTCTGCCCAGTGCTGGCTGACTACTAGCCCAATTTGCTGGCTTCACTCTCTGTGTTTCTTCATTGTTTCAAACTAGGCAGAGACTTATCTTAATAATGGGTCAATCCTCAGCCAAATGTGTTCAATTGAAGGCCACCATGGGAGAATGGCAGGATATTGTCTTTCCAACAGCAAGCGAATTGCAGGCAGCTTAAGGCAATATCCATTTCACTATAATGCTGGTTTATGTTACAGCCCTTTTCAAACTTCTAATTGCTCCGTATTGCTGACATTTATAGACATGCCCTATTTTAAATGAAAACACAACACTGAGGTCAGGAGGAGGTTCTGGGACAGCAGAGACCCCAGGTGAAGCCAAAGGGGGAAATTACTTTAAAACTTCTAAATGCCAAACATGTTTGAGAAAAGTAGGAAAAAAAATAAAGTCTTGGGGCAGAAAAAACATTAATCATGCCCCATGGTATAAATTAATAATAACTATATTTAATTTTCCTATGTAAACGTTCTATGGTTGGATTATATAATTTTTAAATGAAAGCAAATATTATTCATTGGGCCTGGTAAGTCTGGTAAGTCTCATTTTATATGGAATAACTTTGAATATGATTTTTTTCTCCCAATTTCACTTTGATTTGTTAAAAGCAAATACACCAAGCTAACCAGGTTTGTCAGCTGCTTTTGGCAATCATGGTATGTTATGAGCCTTTCAGATTATTCTAAAAGTCACAATGAATAAAAAAATATATCACATTTATGTAGGACTTTTCACCTAGTATCTCATATGGTTTTATAAATAATAAATCATTCATTCCAGAATTGCAACTAAGGAGCCTCAAATAAAGTTCTAATAAGTAATTCTCCCAGGTAGCTTCAGAAGAAGAAAGGCATATAAAGACTACAATCATTTTCATTTGTTTATTCATACATTCATTCACTGAGTTATTGAGTCATTGATCCATATCCTGAACAAATATTTATGTCATGTTCATGTGTATTTAACACTGTGTGATTTCAGACTCTATAAAGAACTATTAAAGAGCTTACACTCTAGTTGGGTCCTGGTTAGGAAATCAATTGTTTAAAATCTTACTCTAAATTGCCAGAACAAATTCTTTTCAACATTATGCTTACTTAACTCCCTGTGAATGTCTTATTGAGGAATAAGAAATTATTAAGGAATATTCAACAGTACTGTTTTCTTTTTACATATCATATATATTCACAGAAAAAATTTTAGAAAAAATAAAAATCACCATTTAAAATTAAAAATCACTATTAATTCCACTATGCAGGGATAAATATTGTTAATAATTTGGCACACAGATTTCTTGTCTGTTTTTAATTTTTCTGTGTGTGTGCAAAATATATCCACATTTGACATAAATAAGATCATGATACACATGTCCATTTATAATTAACTTTTTCTTTTTTTTTTTTAAAGATTTTATTTATTTATTTATTTGAGAGAGAGAATGAGAGAGAGAGAGAGCATGAGAGGGGGGAGGGTCAGAGGGAGAAGCAGACTCCCTGCTGAGCAGGGAGCCCGATGCAGGACTCCATCCAGGGACTCCAGGATCATGACCTGAGCCGAAGGCAGTCGCTTAACCAACTGAGCCACCCAGGCGCCCCTATAATTAACTTTTTCTCAGCTATTAATATATTATGAATATTTTCCAATGTGATTAAATTTGAGTTTTTGGTATTATGAAGTCAAACATAATGACCACATGATTTTTGTTATTAATTCCACTTCAAGTTGTGAAAGGACATTAAACTACAAGTCAAATTCACATGAAGAAATAAAAAACACAAGTAAAGTTAACTACATAGATAAATATAAGAGATATTATAAATACTTTTTGTTTGCCACTTCTTTTTTTCCTGTGGTTTAAAAAACAACTGAAAAATTGGAAAAATTATAAACCTATGTTGATAAACACACAATGTATAGATACATGACTATACAGCATTAAAAAGTGGAGAAACAGAGCTATACAGGATCAAAGTTTTTGAAATACTATCAAAATTAAATTGGTATTAATATGAACTAGATTATTATAAATTATAATTTATGATAACACCTAAGGCAGCCACTAAGAAAATAACTCAAAAATATATTGTGAAAAAAGCAACAAAGTAATTAAAATCGCATACTAGAAAACATTTATCTACTTGACACAAAAGAAGACAGGTATGGAAGAAATGAGGAAGACAATATACATAGAAAATAAATAGCAAATGGCAGATGTAAATTTTACCTTATCAAGAATTAGATTAAATGTAAGTGGATTAAACTCTTTAATCAAAAGGTAAAGATTGGCAAAATGGGGGAAAAAATGATCTAATTCTATTCTGTCAACAAGAGACTCACTCTGGATTCAAAAACACACAAAGACACAAAGAAAGTAAAAGGATGCAAAAAAGACATATAGTAGACCCCTTTATCTGCAGTGTCACTTTCCACAGTTTCAGTTACCCACAAACAACTGTGGTCCAGAAGTAGATGATCTCCTTCTGACATATCATCAGAAGGTCAACAGTAGCCTAACACTGTGTCACAATGCCTACATCATTCACCTCACTTCATCTCATCACATAGATATTTTGTTATCTCATATCATTACAAGAAAAGAAGGGTGAGCATAGTATAGTGAGATATTTTGAGTGAAAGCCCATATTCACATAACTTTTCTTTCAGTATACTGTTATAATTATTCTATTTTATTATTTGTTATTTTGTTAGTCTCTTACTGTGCCTAATTTCTAAGTTAAATTTTATCATAGGTATGCTTGTGTAGGGGAAAAACATAGTATATATAGGGCTTGGTACTATTATCCATGGTTCCGGGCATTCACTAGGGGTCTTGGAACATATACCCTATGAATAAGGGGGGACTACTGTACCAAGCAAACAATAAACAAAAGAAAACTGGAGTGACTGACTATACTAACAGCAGATGAAATAGATTTTAAACAAGAATTATCAGGGAAAAAGAAAGACATTTATAATGATGAAAGGTCAATCAAGAAGATATATATATATATATATATATATAACAATTACAAGCATACATGTACCTAACAGCAGACGCCCAACATACATGAAGGAAAAAGTAACCAAATTGAAAGGAGAAATAGAAAATTCAACAATAATAGTTGGAGACTTAAATATGCTACTTTCAGTAATGAACAGAATGACTAGGTAAAGGATTACAAAGAAATATAAAACTTGAACAACACTAGAAATCAACTAGACCTAACACACATCTATATAATTCATTACTCATAACAGCAGAATACTCATTATTTTCAAGCACATGGAATATTCTTTAGAATAGATGATATGCTAGTTCACAAACCAAGTCTCAATAAATCTGAAAGGATTAAAATCATACAAAATGTGTTCTCTGACCATAATGGAATGAAATTAGAAATCAATAACAGAAACTTCGGAAATTCACAAATATGTGGAAATTAAACATACTTCTAAGCAACCAGTGGGTCAAAAGAAAAACCATAAGGGTAGTATAAAATACTTGATGATGACCACAAATGAAAGCAAAGCCTACCAAAACTTATGATTTATAGGAAAGCAATGCTCAGAGGTAAATTCATAGATGTAGATGTCTACATTAAAAAGGAAGAAAGATTCAAATAACCTAACCCTTAAGAAATAAGAAAAAAAATAAAGCAAATTAAACCCAAAGCAAGCACATGGAAGAAAATCATAAAGGAAAAAGAGTGGAAATAAACAAAACAGAGAATAGAAAACAATAGAGAAAATCAATAAAACAAAAAGATGATTCTTTGATGAGATCAACAAAATTAATAAACTGTTCAACAAATTAACCAAGAAAAAAGAAAGAAGATTCAAATTACTAAAATTAAGTATTAAAGAGGGTACATTTCCACTAACCCTATAGAAATAAAAGGGATTATAACTGAATATTAGGAACAATTGTATGCCAACAAGTTAGATTACCTAAATGAAATGGGAAAATTCCTAGACAGACATAAACTACCAAAACTGATTGAGTAAGAAATAGAAAAATAGACCTATAACAAATAAGGAGAATGAATCAGTAACCAAAAAACTTCCCCCCTCACACACACACACACACACAAAAGCCCAGAACAAGATGACTCCATTGGTGAATTCTGCCAAATATTCAGAGAATCAGCACCAATCCTTCACAAGATCCTCCCAAAAATAGAAGGTAGAAATACTGGTTAACTCATTCTACAAAGCCACAAAAATCAAAGATATCACAAGGAAAGAAAATTATAGACTAATATTCCTTATGACTGTAAGTACAACAAAAACATTAGCAAACTAACCCAGCAACATCTAAAAAGGATTATGTAATATAACCAGGTTGGATTTATCCTAGGAATGCAAGGTTGGTTCATATATTAAAAATTAATGTGATTGCCATATTAATAGAATAAAAGTAGAAAGTGCATAATCATTTCAATACATGCATAAAAAGCATTTGACAAAACCTAATACTATTTCATA